TTCCTGCAGCTCTTTAACAGAGGAAAGATGAGTAATTTTGAGCTTTGGGAAGGTTTATATCAATCTATATTAGTGCTTTACCCTATGAAGTGTTTCAAGTGATATTTTCTAAACATCCATTTTCAGGCTCTTCCAAACATTCAACACAATTTCCCAATGCCTAAACAACACCAATTTACCTTTTTCAAATCAATGAAGGATTTCTACTAGGCTACAACAAAATGAGTTTCCTACACACACACCCCTGTCCCTTAAAGATTGCTTGACAGCAGACAAAGGCAGCACAATGCTATAAGCAAGTTACTAATCTCTTGGACGTGGGCCAACACAACATCACAACTGCTCCTCACCAGAAATTCCCACTTGGGATGGGAGAACAACTCACAGTCATCATGAAATAATTAGTGGCAAGGAAATATTCTCAACCATTTATCACTTCACACAGTCCTGGACAAGCTTCTAATGTGATCACCTTATAAAGCCATAAAGTTTGACCTTTTTTTGCTGGGCTGTTAAGCAGTCTGCACTGAAGTCCGAGATTATTAGATGAGCTTATTCTGTATGACACTCAGGAGGGAAATCCCAAATATTTTTGCCTTTACATCACATTTTACTGAGGGCCAATAGCTTTCCACATACTCTCAATCAACCTGTACAGGAATATTATGGTTTAACTTGTAACATCAGCAACACACATACTTCAGTATTAGAACAGCTGTGCTTTTTGCTTCCAGCTTCTCAACACTTTATCCACGAAGCATGGTTCAAAAATGAAAACTGTACCAGCTAACAGATTAAAGACAACGATCAAAAGTTATGCATAGGACAGTTCTGAACTGTGGAATCACTTGTAGATTGTGCCACAGACACAGATATTCTGCAGATGTTCCCAAACTGTAGGAAGCAATGTTAAAGAAGTCCGTGAGCAGTTATGTTTCCTAAAGGTATGAGCTCATTAAAAAAACATGCTCCACTAAAAATTACCTGAAGAGCAGACAGAGCCACAGCACCACAGAGGCAGATGAGGGGATAGATGGGAAAGAGAAACCTCTCTTCTTTGTGGGGCTGACTGAAGAAAATCATGATCCAAATGTACATAGGAGCTAGCGTCAGCCAGTAGGGACGGCCTAGATTCTGAACTGAAAGAAACAAGCACTCAAAGAGTAAGGTAAGAATGAGGGGTTTATCCCATTACCCCTCTTGTACAATCACATTTCACTTTCAAAAGCCCGTTCTTCAGACCTAAACTATTGTCTTCAGACACGAACACACCACGTTCTGAGCAGCTGTGTTGTTAAAAATCCACGTAACATGTCCAAAGTCAGTAGATAATTTTGATCCGAGAGTTTTTGTAGATTTCTACAACACTAACAATTTCAACAGACTTTAAAAGACCAAAAGCAGAAAATAAGGGACTACATTACTGAATTCAGGCAAGAGACAAAGCCCATCAGGAACTGACATGTCTAAATGGGCAGTCAGAAGTACTAGATTTCCTGTTGTGTATTATGCTATACATGCAAATAGCAAAAAGGGTCTCCTCTGGATCTACCCTTCCACTTAGAAATGGTTGTTTAGCAACTGATGTTTCCACAATCTTCATTGCTTCATTACAAAAATAACAGCACGAGAGGTCTCTCAGGCACCTTCTGCTTAATGGAGGAAACAACCGATTCAAAAATAACAACAATTACCCTGAATTTTAGTCACACTGAGGAGGGTTCTACACCACCTGACAATTTTCAGTCCCTTTTCTGCCCCCTTGCTACTCCCAACAGCAGAGTTAAGCAATTAAGCTAACTGGCATTTCACAGGCAGCGAGAACAAAGCACTTGGCAGAAGTGCTCCTGCTGTTAAGTACAAGAACACCAAGAGAACAGCAGGAAATCTTGCATTTACAGGATCTCCTACCGAGCTTTTACTGGTTTCTGACAGTATGTTGGTCATATCCAAGGAACAGATATAAGGAAATACCCATTAACATACATTTTCAACAAGGATTATGATGTTAGTGTTTCTTGTATTCAGTTAAAAAAATAATAATCAGAGAGCAAAGGACCAACTGGAGTGATGAATCTGGAGGCTGCTGCTGACACTTAATGAATCTTCCTTAGGAAAACAGCAAAGAATTCACACTTACCAACACCGTTTTCCTCTCTGGAGTCACTTGCCAAACGCCATGTGTTCAAACTGATGTCATTTTATTTAAGAGAAAGCCCACAGTGAAGCAGGGAATATTCTGGTTCCTCCCTTCTCTACTTTCAGTAGATCTACACCTATGGGGACACTTCCCAAAGCATGGGGTAGCAAGACAGTCCTGCCAGGGCTCAGTCCTGCAAGTTGAAGAGTGCCTTTCACAGTGAACAGAAGAGTCCAGGTTCAATCTCAACATGGGTGGCAGTAACAGAGACCAGAGGACGCCTATTTGTGCGTTCAGTCCCAACAATCAGAAAGGAAATAACTCCTCTGTTGTCTCATGGTGCTGCAGAAAACATTCTGGCAGTGATATAAAAAGGTAACAATGGAAGAGCCAGCAAAAGGTTTCCCAAATAACTCTAAAGGCTACCACTTCCAGCTGCAGATAAGGTGGAAACAACAACGGGTACATAATTTCTTTCCCTTTTAAGACTTCCGACACGGCTCTTTCTAATGCATTTGCATGTCTGGCTGAAAGTTATGCACCATACCACTTGTTAAGCTCACTCTGGGTATGGATATTTCAGCCTTGATAACAGATTGTTCTTCTTGAGGTGGAGGCAGGGAACACAGGAATCATCCTTAAAGAGAAAAACATGTTTCTGCCCTTTTCCAGATAGTACATAAGCAGAGGCATCTCGCTGCATGTACTTTCTACACAGCCACTCCACTGTGGGGTCAATACTGAACTAAGTAATGAGCTCTAGGAACCTTCCCATTATTCCAAAGATTTTCTTTGTACCTAGTGTCACTTCCAATAAGGGAAAGCTGCTCTTTGGCAGGTAAGCTCCCCCTTTAGTAACAAGGTTGACATCTGGGCTGTCTGTGCTTACCTCTCACAGCTCTCTTGCACTCACCATGAAATTTCTGAAGCAGACACTCCATGAGATAAGTCAGTGGCAGCACAAGCAGTGCCAAAATAAATGCCACATTGAAATTCAGAAAACCATTGATGAAATAGAAGCACCAGGGTTCAGTACCTAAAGGATGAAAAAAGGAAACGAGACTTAAAATACAAGCATGTATGAAATGTAGATGTAACAGCAGCTTAGTTCCTTCTCTGCCTGTCACAGACTGACATAGGCTGCAGCAGACATCAATCCTCCCCACTGCAAGCACAGTGAAACCAAAGAATGGAAAAGGTGTGGACAGAAGATCTTGCAGCTGGACAGAAGATGCAGTCCCATGGAATGAGCCTGAGCCATCTCAAAGCACTCTCATGGTTCTGCCTCTCACCCATAAAACATGAGAGTTAGTCAAGAGCCATACAAAGGCACTGGAGTATCTCACAACCATGTCTGCCCAAGAAACTTCATTTTCTTCCTTTCCAAAAATTATTTTTCTCCTTCCTTTTTCACTGGGTCATAGTCAGGATCACATCTGCTGCTTCATACGTCAGGCCACTCTAACAGTCAGCCTTGCCCAGCACAGTTCTGTGACACAGAACTCACCGTTGCCTTAAGAAAGCCAACACAGCAAGAAAGGGGCAACACAGCAAGAAAGTAGAGGCAGAAACTTGTAAGTCACAAAACCACACAATGTTAAATAGAGATCATTGTAATTCTGGAGTGCTGATGTATATGCCATGTTGGCAGAGAGAAAAAATGGACTAAAAAGGAACAAGAAAAAGAGTTCACATTCACACTTCACCCCAACAAAGACTCTGCCACTGAAGTTCATCCAGATTGTAGTTTTGGAACCTCCTTAGAGCCAACTCTATTTAAAATTTCCCTACTTCAATTTGTTCTTACAGTGTAGCTTCAAATACGAGCAAGCCAACTCTGCCTCCTAACATGACGTACTGGTTGCAAGCTTTGAAGGATGTAAATGGGAAGAAATTCCAGTCCAACTGTCATTTATTTGGACTCTTAATTCAGGATGCTTAAAATCCTGAACAATAAGGAATGCCAGTTCCTCTCCACACATTTGCCACTCTCTCAGTGTGATTAGCTCAATCAGTCAGTAAATGACACGCGGGGGCTTTAATCACTGCACTGTTGTGACATGTGTCACACACTGCAGCAATTTCCTGCAATCAGAGCCACTTAAATAGGGTCCACGTTGAAATTAATCAGACAACTCAAAAGCAGCAGTGAAAACCTGAAACCTCTGCAGCTCCTACAGCTAAATATGATTAGAAGCTGCACTAGTAACATCAGAAACATGTTGTTGGAGTTACTAAGGCCAAGTCCAAGCAACTGAGGTTCAATGAGGAAACCTTTAGCTATTAGCACTGAAAGCAAATAGCAACTAGAGATTTGGATTTTGGGGAGTAGGTGGACTTAAGGGAGTGCATTACTAGAAATTCACCTTCTCTCTCTCTCTCTCTCTCTCCACCTGCCTCAGTTCTCACAAGTCCCACACAAGCACAACCCTCAGCCTGTGAGAGGCTGAACATGGGATACAGTAGACTGAAAGATCATGTCAAGTGATGCACATGACAGACTTATCTGTACAGCAACGTTGCAACAGTGCCAATATCCCTTCCTCCTTCTCTAGACTCTGTTGGTAACTCTCCAACACACCTTCAGACCAGGACAGATTTAACCTCCTGCAAGGATCCCACGTGCTAGAGCTCAGCAGATGTGGGCTGCAGGAGGGAGACTGATGAAAGCAGTGCAAAGAACACTGTGACCCAGTCAGTTCAGGGCACTATGGTGCAATGAGGACAACCAACTGGAAACACTGTCAGACACTGAGCCAGAAGCTTGTTTGAACTTTGTGCTCTGTGACAGGCTCTGGGAGCACTTCTAGAAATCAAACTTGCACGCATGCTAATAGAATTTAAGCAGCTATCATGCTGCAGCTTGACCACAGCAAGGGTGAGGTTGGCTCAGGACAAAGCAGAGGAGTTGTAAAATAGGCTTAAACTAAGGTGCCCCACCCTGTGTTTGTCACAGGCTAAAAGCCTGCATGCAGACAGGAACTGTAGCTCAACTGTTAAACTGCAATAATTTGATCATGAGTCACAGCCCTCAATCTGAGCGAGTCCGATTCAGTGCTAGTAAAATAAACACTCTGCTTTCTGCATTTCATTTATTGTCACTCTATTTAAGAGCCAGGACTCAACAAAGCAAGGTGTCATATAAACAGCTCCAGCACAGTCCACCCAAGCTGAACAAAGCTTCCCAAAATGCCATTGCACTGCAAGTCATAGCCAAGGCTCTGATCACAGGAAGAGAGACAAAACTTTTGGCACAAGTTGTGCATTTTTAGAACATATGTACACAAAATCATCCCAAAGCCTCACAATCAGGCTTACAGATATACACTTAGGAGCTATTTTCCTGTGGCTGTAGAAACCTAATCACCCCAGGGAAATATTACTTGCACAGACTACTTTTATCCAGGAGTACATTGCTAAAGGCAAAAGAAAAATAAAAAAATCTCAAACTTTGGCTGCAGAACTCCAGTCAAAAGGAAAAATACTGTGGTGCTTACATTGAAGATGATATGGGCTGATGACATTCCAACCTCCAGCAGTTCCTGCTCCCATCACGTGAAAGTTGGGAAATCCCAGCTCCAAAGCCAAAAGGGATTGGACAGCCTTTCATCTTCCCTGCTAGTGTTATTTTTCACAAGTGTTTTGAAGCTCTCTAAACACACAGTGCTGTCCTGGCCACACTGCATTAGAGAGCAATTTCAAGTAGGCTCTTCTACTAGCCTGAGGATGTTATATGAATGTCACTATGAATAAAACACTTCAGAATAGATTGGGCCCTGGAGGCTTCTGGAAACAACTCATGCACCAGTGTGGAAAAGGTCAAGCATGAGCCCATGCCAAAACCTATCAGAGAGAGAGCCTGGAGTTTCCTTACAGAAAATTCACAGCAACAAACTTCAGAGCTTTCCTGCAGAGATGAAGTACCATGGCAAAGCAGCTGCTGCCCTGCAATGCCACAGCACAAGTAACAAATCACCAGTTGGCACCACCCAAAACAGCCCTTCAAATGAACCAAATATGGCCTGCAGAGCACTGCCAGAGAAAGCCTTGCCACTAGCCACTGCTAAATCTCTCCTAGAATATCCTGTCAGGGCTTAAAAGAGATGACACAGGGACCCTGCACCCTAAACTCCCTGAAGTCTCTGCCAGCCCCTTGGAAACCCTACTAGAAATAGAATACTTGTCTACTCTTCAGCTCTAGAAGTACATGATGTGAACAACTTCATGCAGCGGCAGGTCTCAAACAAACACAGCATTGCCATCAAGGTTCAGACCTCAGATTTGGGTCACACAGTATCCTAAATGGCCAGCAGCAGGGAATCCCTCATAGGCAGATGATTTGCCTGCAGGTGAGATGCATTTATGGTAACCTCAGATTCTGCTTGCCAGCAAAGCTTGGGCCACGGAGTGACAATAAGCAAGAACATTTCCAAGGCACAGCATGGACTCCAGAAATCCGCAAATGACAAAACAAGGGGAAATGGGTTTAAACTGAAAGAAGGGAGGTTTAGATTAGATATTAGGAAGAAGTTTTTCACTGTGAGGGTGGTCAGACACTGGAACAGGTTGCCCAAGGAAGCTGTGGCTGCTCCTCCCTGGAAGTGTTGAAGGCCAGGTTGGATGAGGCTTTGAGCAACCTGGTCTAGTGGAAGGTGTCCCTGCTGATGGCAGGGGGGTTGGGACTGGATGATCTTTAAGGTCCCTTCCAATCCAAGCCATTCTATGACAGGGCGCAGAAACCCGACAGCGGCCCGCAGATTACCAGCTCGAGAGGGACATCCTGTGGCAACAAGGTGGAACTGCGGCCCTTGGAGCCTGCAGGCTGCTTCTGCTTTAGACTACATCAGAAAAAGGACTGGCAATCACGACTAGGTGGGCCACGGTAGCAAGACAGAAGCAGGAAAACCACTGACTCCCTTTCCTGTCTTGATATTTTGAACTCACCATAGAGATCTGGTCCATGAGAGGTGAAAACATTGTACAAAACAATGTTGAGAGGTGCAACTACCAGCTTCCCATAGTAATAGCTGTCCACAACTATCAACGGCACCTGGAAGAAAGCATCTGTTATTTAAAGTGCCAGAAGCTTTTGGCTGTACTGCCCAAAAGCTCCATGTGATTTTCTTAATGGAACCCACTCCTTCTACTGCAAGCTCAATCCATTCCCTCTTTGCGTTGTTTGAGGCACTTACCAAAAACAGGATCAAAGACACCAGACACCAGTTTATGAAACTTTTCCACCTCTGCTTCAGTATCAACAAGTCAAAGGCAATAGGAAGCCTGAAAGACAGACCAGATATCAACCACAGACTTTGTCTTTCTCTACCACAGGTTTTCCTGCCCCTTCAAAACAAGTGGGGCAGCAGCTGGTGGAGAACCATTACTTCACCAGGATTTTGCTTCTACTCCATAATCCAGTCACCCAACTCAGGTCTTATTCTGAGTATATTAGGATCACGAAAGCTTCCCAACCCAAGCTCTTCAAAAGCAAAGAAATCAGGCTATGGAAGCCTGTAGCAATGATCTTGGACTAGGCTGGCAGCTCAGCCCCTGCTAGTTTTTTCTTCCAGCTCTCCAGCCCCCAAGTTCTCCCCCACCAGGCAAGAAACATTTGACAAAGTGCAAAACTCTTGAGCCCTCCTCTCCTTACCCAAGAGCTGCACTGAAGGGCCAACCCAGAAGGGCTCCAGCAGCCACACCCAGCACTGCTACAGAGGTCTTGTCCATATACCAGCCAGTCATGGCAATCACTGTGGTGTACATGCAGAAACTGCTTGGGAGGAAAGCTGCAACACAAGGAAAGAAAGGGGTAAGCACATTTTCCCACAGCAGGAGAACTGCACAAGGCCAAGATAAGGCTAACCATCTCTCATTTGTTCCACTGGAGTTGGGATGCTATACTGGACACATTCATTTCAGTGAGGGGGTGGGGGGGAAGAAGCAAACACACACAACTCTTGTAGTACGAGTGGCACTCAGCAGTGGTAATCAGTTGACAGCATCCAGATACCTCTTATAACACTTGCTGCTAGGCTGAAAAAAATGAAACAAACCTGCTGAAGGGGCAGCAGAAAATGTGAGCTGATTTGGTACAACTGGGCAGAGACTAGTGGGAAGTAAGTGAAGAATGAGGAGAGCTATGACCCTGCCAAAACAATGAAGGGAAAGTCCTTCCTCCACCCACCATAAACAAACAAACAAAAAAAAAGGTAAAATAAGACACCTCAGCATTCATAAGTTGTCATATTTCCCTTTACATTTCTGTATGCATACAATACAGAAAACCTTTGCTCAAAGGCTCTCTTAGCACTTGACTCAATACGTACAGCAGGTGTTGGTGTTTTACAAGTCTTACAGTGGTTGACTAGGCAAACGGGTACAACCAGCCAGAGGGGACAGGACACAAAGGCAAATGACAACGCCAAAATATCACCCTCCTTCCTTGGATTAAAATACATTCAAGGAAGGCAAGACCCTGTTTAAAAGACATGGCCCACTGCAGAGAGACTGGAGGCAGCAATAGAAACAAACACGCCCTGGAAATTGAAAGATACAAGACAGCAATGCAGGGAACACCATTTGAATCAACACTTATTCTGTCATCCCACTTGTCATGAGAAATACCTGCAACAGAATACAACAAATGATTGCTAGAGAGATATTTCAGTGCTGCAGTTCTCCCTGGAGCTGTCTTTGGTTTCTATAGACAAAGTTAATGGCATTGCTAAGCAAACTTACCTGCAGATGAGCAAAACATCCCAGTGCTGAGTACCAAGAAGGCCAACATAAGCCGGCTCACATGCAGCCCAAACTTCTTGCACACAGCCCTAAGGAAACAAGAGATAATTAGAGATCACAAAAACGTCCTCAGTACATAGAAGAACAGTACCCAGTGCATGCAGAACCACAAGCAATCCATGGAGCATCCCGAGAGCTTTAAGGTGGGTGATTCTCATTACTCAGCTGCTGAAGGCAACCTGAAGAGCAGTATGACTGCCTCTGGCCTGGGGTTTCAGATCCTCCCAAGTTACACAAGCGCAAACCTTTGGAAGAGACTTGGCTTCTATCAGCATCAGTTGCGCTCGTGCAAATCTCAGGAACTCAAAGAGTCTCCACTGCTGGAGCAACATCAATCTAAGATTTTCAACCCTCACAAAATCCCATAATGAAAAAAAGCCACAGCTCACATTCTTAAAACCAGACTATTGCCAACAGAAGAGTCATGCAAAGCAATAGTCTGAAAGCCACAAATAGAAAGGCTTAGACAAGACAATTGTATGCTCAGGCTACTGCTTTTAGTGGATGTAAACACCACTGGCAGATACATTACAGACAGCAACAATCAAAGTATTCCACTAAAATTCACTATGGTAAGCAAACACACCACCAGTCTCTCCTCCAGCAGAGCTCAGTTTACAACACTCCCACCCTACTTGCTTGTATCAGGGAGAAAACAAGTGTAGTTGTAGTGGAGATGTGGGAGGCAGATCTAAGAACAGAGTTTCATACTAACAGTGGAATTCCTACCAACATATCATTAAGCTATTATGAGAACACATACTTTCAAGGCTCACTGTGAAGTAGCCCAATTTACCAGACACATCTACACATGAGCTTCAGAGTGCATTTCCTGTGGCAATAACTCAGTATGTTACTCACATTGCTCCAGAACATTCACTGCAGACAGCTTCCAATACTCACTTGTAGAAGTAGAGTTCACAAATGCAGCTCAGGAAGGCCAGGAAGCATCGGAGGAAATAGAAGATAAGAACCTAGGAGATATACTCATAGTCTGAACAAGACTTGCAAGGAAACTTATGCAGCTATTACTAACAAGTCAGTTTCAAGAAGATAAGTTCTGAACAGGATGGAACAAGTTTGGCAGTGGTGAATGAGCCTGTTCTTCTGGACCCAGAACCTGCACCAAGGGATACTGAAGATCCTGGCAGCTCAAGGCCCTCTAGCACTAAAGTCCTTTACAACAGAGAAAGTGAACACAATCCACTGAACTTAACAGAACCAACTCTCTTTTGTTTGCTCTTGTGCAGAAACATGCTGTCTACATTTAGCCCGTAACCAGGGCTAGATTAGAGCACTTGCTTTATCAGCCAATGACTCCTTCTCAGCTGGGAAAGGAATCAGACAACAGGAGGAAAGGCCCGTGGGCTGAGATGAAAACAGATTTAATGAAACAGAAGTACACAAAGTTACACTCAGCCCAGCAAATGTACAGTAGTCAGAATAAACAAAAAAAGAAGTCCTCAGAGACAGAATGAAAAGCAAGCCCCTCTAGTGATGGTAACCTGCAAAAAGACAAGGAGAAGACCCTCCCATCCTCAGTAAACTTCTCCCTTTATAATGAGTGTGATGTTTATGGTATGGGATACACCTGTTGGCCAGCTCGGGGCAGCTGCTCTGGCTTTTGCCCCTCCTACCTTGAGCACCTGGCTGACTCGAAACTGCCAAAGGCCTCCATACCATGGCTGGCCTATGATTGTATCCTGGCAAAACCAAGACACTTGCCAAGTACAGCACAAAGCAGAATACACATTCAGTGCCTTTTCTTTTACATTTCTGTAGGTTCAGTTTGCAATATCCCTTGAAAAATACTAGGTTTTTAATAGTTTATTGGAAAAAAAAAAAGTCATTGATAGCTGGCATAGAAAAACAATATGGGCTTCTAAAGCATCGGAGTGAAGCTCAGAGTAACTGTCCCCCTCAAAAGGCCTGTCTGGGACAGCTTTTTAATCAAGCCAGAGCCTGACAGCATTTCCCTGCAACTTCCCAATCACTTTTCTTTGGATCCCGTTGAGGGAAGTTAGTGTTTGTAAACAAATCATTATTTTGCAAACACTAGTTCTCTTAGCTATGACAACAAACAGAGCAGATGTTAAACACAGACTAAAAGCATGTTTATTCTACACAAAAGAAGCTTTCACACACATCTGATTTACCTTGTTAGTTTGTAGAACTCTAGCATGGAACAAGGCCGGTAAGGCATGAAGCCACAGGTAAGCATAGGAGCGGATGGCATAGGCTGGAGAGTATTCCCATGTCTGAAATCCCTTTCCATAAATGAGGTAGTGTGTCTACAACGGAGAGTAAATACATAAATAAATATGTAGCACACAGTTCTGCATTCACCATCTCTATATTCTCCAGTAAGAAAGTTTATCTTTGAAACACGGAGATTAGCACAAGGTTTTAGATAAGCGTGTATTTGCATAAGCCAACTACAAATTCCCAAGGACCTCCAAAAAGAGAAAGTCACCCACCGGTTCCCAGTAGTTAAACGTCTCATCGCAATCAGAGATGTTGCTTAAGAGAGCAGCGCAGAACCTGGCTGAAATGAGACACTTGAAAGCTGTCGATCCTTCAGGGGCCCAAACTTGTCCTGCTTTGCTCCCAGGTGATCTAGTCCAAAGACAAAACACAAATTTGCACCAAGAAGACTCAGTAACAGGAATCTAGACCAGCAATGTGACACTAGGCAAAGAACCGGCAAGTGTATTTGTCCTGGTTTTGCCAGGATAGAGTTAA